GGAGTTTGGTTTACAGTGTGGGTCAGCAGCTGGGAAGGATCAGGAAATGGTGTTTCAACATAATCATGCTTAAGGCATAAAATAATGAACAACATTGGGCTTCTTTTAGCATGTAAAGTAGAATAAGGGTGGTGTTTGAATATGCACATTATAGATACCTAAGGAATGATATCTCACAGGAATTGATTTATAGTAACATTTTCCCCTTTTTTATTAGTATATGTTTGCAATATGTAATAAGTACATTCATTGTCAGGAATTGGTACATACACGTGTCACATCTCAGTCCCTTTATTTCCTCTTTCCTTTTGTTTTCCCTGATCCTCATTTTTTTTGAGGGGAGGATACCAGGGATTGAACTCAGGTCCTTGTGCTTGTGAGGCAGATGGTGGAACCACTGAACTAAATCCCTGGCCCCATCCTCAATTTTTGAAGTGGGAACTAATGGGCTTTTTCTTTTATGGTTTCAGTGATTACCTCCCCCTTCCAACCCAGGGCCTTTGTACTGAGCCACATTCCCAGATATTTTTAATTTTGACATAGACTCTTAAGTGGCAAAGTTCCCCAGGCTTGTGCTCCATTTGTAACAATGCTGGGGATTGAACCCAGGGTCTGTTTAATACCAGAGTATCTTACCACTGAGGCACATTTCCATGCCCCCTCTATTTCTTAATATAAACTTCCTAAGATTTCTACTTCTGGCATGGGTTTGGAAATGGTTAGAAAACAAAAAATTTCCATCTTCCTTTCTCTTTATCTTTCAAAATAGGGCTTTGCATGATTAAGTAGTATAAGGCAGTGAACAAAGGAATTGGAGGAATCTGCCCACCAATCCTAGCTTCTTTATGTGCAAGTTGTCTTTCTATAGCCTATTTCTTCATCTGTGAAATGAAATGAGATTACTAATTTTGTAGTATTAGTGTGAGACCTTGATTACATTAAATATAAAGTTAAAGGTATCTAATGGTATTCTTCCCACCATGAAATAAAACATAAGTCCATTTCTGGTTTCCTCTTCCTCCTCTCATCTGCTTCCATGATGTCACTTAAAGTAAAGCAAGCCACACAAATAATGTGGGAATTTTTGTGATCATTTCACTTTTGCTAAGGGGGTAATTTTTAAATTCCTGTTTGGGGATCTTGACACTCTGAAAATACTGCTTTCTACACACACACACACACACACACACACACACACTTTGTTTTTATTTGGTTTCTGCAAGGAAGAAATATATCTGTGTTGAGTACATTGAAGTCTACTAACTTCCTCTGGTCGTCTTGCTTATGATCTCCAACCCTGGCTCTGGTTACTTACTGGCTACTATTGGAGATACATACTTTTGGGGCAGTTTGTGATTACTCTGCACTGCCAATTCTAAGGCTAAAATAAGAGTGGACTTTGGTTTAGAGAGAAATACTAATTTTATACTAAAATGGGGTTCATCTTTGACAGCTAACAGGAGCTATTAGTGAGCACATGTTTTGTAAGATGAAGTAAATTACATTAAAAGTAAAACACTTTATCAACTTAATTAAGCAAATCAATATATTAAAATATGCAGACTAATTTTAGCATGTAGTTATTTGTACCACAGTGGCTTTCTGCCTTTGAATCTCATGATACAATGTGAGAGCTTTCTCTCTGATCTTATAAATCACAGATCTTGATGTTATCTAATTGTTTGATTAAAATGGTATACTTGATTTGATACAGAGTTCAGTAAATCTGTAGTTCTGAATGTATTGCCAAAGATGCACTTCTTCAAAATGAGGATAAAGGAGTTTGGGGTGGTGTTTGGATGATTGTAGTCTAAGTATTTATAGCTCATCTGTCTTCTGATGGTTCCTTAGGCTTCTAGCAGGCACGTGTCCATTGTTTTTAAGCAGAGCACAGTATGTATGTTTGACAAGTTAGCAGCGTGGCAGCTCTGCTCCTTCCCCAGCCTTGCCGCCGGCTCACAGATTGTTTGGTTTGGCAGGTGGCCAGCTCTCTGCTATAAGATGCATTTTCTTGACAGGACAAAGTGTGTAGCTGCATTAGCTGCAAAGTTTACAAAGGTTAGCCAAACACACACAATAAATATTAATAAACAAAAAAGGCCCACCCACCTTTGACTTTGAATTCTGTTTCTTCATTCTGTGTTTTGGAATCCTGTAGTATTTGATTAATAACCAGTCTTAGGGTAATTGAGCCTTAAGTATCCTTTGCATGAGTTAGCCTACTCACAGACCCCTCATTGGCAGCTTTGGTGACTTAGTCATTCCAGAGGTCTGTTTAGTATAAGGAATCTTACTTCTCTCTCCTTGCTTGAGCATGAAAAGAGAGTACATGTGTTTCTGCATAAGAGCTTAAGTTGACCAGTCATGTGTGTGTCAGTGCTTTGAAGGATAAAGGATATGAATAGGAGTAGAGGTATAGTGCCCTTTGTCTCCCTGGAAAGCAATCAGACATTGGTCTCTTGGCCTGAGTAGTTGCCGCTCTCTAACATTTACACCCTCATGCATAGAGACACAGAGAGAGTAACCGTAACCTGCTGCCCCTGGAAACTGCCTATTTGGCTGGGTGTCTTGGAATTTATCAGGCCTACATTGTGGATCTTTTCCAATTCTGCACCCTGCTCACTTGAAAACTTATTTGAGAACCAGTAATCTTAGACTGCTTAGCCAGACCTCTGGAGAACTAAGAAAGAGAAACGACTCTAATGCCAAGTCCTTAGGGCTGTTCTGGGGCCATTTGTATGTGGCTGAAGTTTTTGAAGACATTTGAAAGACCCTCTCATTGTCTTCTCTTGCTTTCTGGTTCATGTACATCCTTTCTCATGGGCCACATTAGCACATTAGGAAGGAACTAACCTGGCTGCATTTGTAGGATACCAGAGTATAATAATGGTCTGGAGAAATCAAATTATTCCTCGTGGAGAGTAACTATTTTAACTTGAAAATTATCTCCCAACTCTACCTAGCAAAGTAATTCATTTAGGCATTGTTCAACAGTGACTTTTAATTCATTCCCTTAGCACACATTGATCAGACACCAGCACGGGCACTGGGAATACCTTAAAACGTAAGTCTGTGACCGTGTCATATATTCTAGTGGGGGAAGCAGATATCAAGCAGAATAGACAAATTACAAATTATGTTAAAAGGTCATACAGAAAAGGCAGGGGACTGGTAGGAAACAATAGTCTGAGTAGTGATGATATTTAGGCAAAGACCTAGATGAGTCTTGGCTCAGATGCACTTCTTCTAGATAGGGTTACATAAACATGATGTTAGGAAGTTATGTTTGTGACTGTCCTTATGCTTCCATATACCTGGCTATGACCATCAGGAAATGTCCAGTGCCATGGTTCTCAAATTAGGCTCAGTGGCCGAGCACCTGAAATTCAGGCTGCTGCTTTACAGACTGTGAACTATTGATTTACTTAATTCCATCTTACTAACTAGGAGCAGTTGTGTTAGGAGAAAATTTGGCTTTTACACACATGCATTATAAAGTACAGTAGATTCCATGAACATATGTACAAAGCATCAACAACAACAGAAAGGATAACCAAATTGTTATATGAAGTATAATTTATTATTTTCAAGTTTTTCTGTTAACAGTTACTATTGAATGTTTTATGTTTCAGCACTTGTTAGTAGACATTTGGGCAGCAGACACTGGATTTAAGGAAACCCTAAAATTATGAAAATGTGCTGGAAAAAGCACAAACTCTCTGGTTTGATCCTTTCCAAGAACAACTGAGTCTTCTTCAAGGATACATAGCTTAAGCATCAGCCTTCCAGATATGAATTAGAAGTCATGTAGGCTGTTTTTAGCTTGTTCCTGAGTTTCTTTTGTAATCTCAGAAAAGGATTTGCAGCCATTTAACTATATATGTATTTCTGCCAGTCAGATGAGTGAGAATATCTATCAAAGGGATCTCAGAGATTTCCAAATATTCTGTCTTAACAAAAACGTGGGATGATTAGTGATAAGGAGCCAAAGAAAATCAGCTCAAGGTAGAGTTAGGTCATAGAAGTTCCAGGATTCTCATTTTACCATTAGAACTGTAAAATGGCAATATCAATTGTACCTTTTTCTCCCTTAATCCTTGTACAATAGCATGGCGAGTGACAGGTTATTCAATAGAACTTGAATTAATGTTTCTACTCAGTTCTTTCTCTACCAGAGTGAGTTCTACAGACCTGGTACATAGTGTTTCTGCCTACCATTATTATCTTCATCTTTTCCCCTTTAATTCTATTCATGCTGTCCCTCTCACCTCTGCTCTCTTACTACAGATGAAAATTAAAAACAGGCTGTAGTTCTCATTCAGAACCCCTGGTTTTTTGTGGTTCTTTGAGCATTACTTATTTTCCTCACCAGAATTGAATCCAGAGGGTCATAGCTTCTAGTACACCTTCTTTAAAGTAGTTTTTAATGCAGGTTAATATCAAGTTTTTATATTCTGTATTTCTGTTATACTTCTGCCATTGCCCTATTGTTTTATCTCACAGTTAGGGTAAGATTATTGAATATGTACCAATATGTGTTTTTTTTTAAAGAAAAAAAAACAAAAACAAAAAACTTCATGAGACTTGGATCTTTGTGAACTAAAAACAGTAACCACCTGGCCTCAGTCTGCAGCCTAAAGGAACATATTGTGTTTGTGTAAAAGCATGAAACACTGAGATCCAAATCTGCTTTGGTGGTAAGCAGAACTGACTTATGTGGATTCAACATTCCATGATGCCAGCCTCATATGGTAATGGAGCTGGGAGCCTAACTTTGTGTTTTCAAGGCTGCCAGGAAAGGACCATCTCTTTTACTTGTATGGTTTCGTATAGATAAGAAGTGATGGATTGGAACTTAACCTCAAGAAAATATCCTAAAAATTATCAGTTGCTGTCAGGTTGGTGTTTGATTTAGTAAACTAGCCATCAAAGTAGTAACAGATTTTTACTCCCATTTTTATTTGGCTTTTTTTGTTGGATTTCATATCTTTCCTTTTCAGAGTGTTGTCCGCTGCCTGTGGCATCCAAAGCTGAACCAGATCATGGTTGGAACTGCGAACGGGTTGGCTAAAGTCTACTATGACCCCAACAAGAGTCAGAGGTATTTTATAAGCATTGCTCATTTTAGATGGATGACAACAACTGGGGGAAGGGCTTTGTTTCACCCTGCTTTTATTTATTTCCCCCTTTGATGAGGATCCACCCTTTTAGAAAATGCAGCTGGCACAAAGTAAAGCCTCAAACTCCTAGTATTGTGCTTTAAAGAGGATTTAGATATCACCCTTGATCCATACTGAATTCAAAGTGAAAGTTTCCTGGGGATTTGCAGTTCTTTAGCTGTAATGTTGAGTGCAAGGACCCGGGTAAACGTCCTGCTCACTTTGCATACCACCCTGGACAGTGGCATTAGCAGTGATGCATGTGAGGGATTAACAAAGCAGGGAACTAGCCACTTAGAGCAAATAGAAATAGCTTGTCCATTCTGTTACCTTTAATTTTTAGATTTTAGCAATTACCAATTTGAGTGTTTAGCAAGATTATTCTCTGCCAGCAGAAAGGGAGAACACAGGTACTCCTCTTTAACCCCCATTCCTACCCAGATGTCAAATGTAAGCATACCAGTTAATGAGGAGCTGGGTCAGTACCTCAATTTATTTCCACTTTCCTTGGCACAAGAGTGTTCATGTGTTACCACCCAAAAAAAGATGGTGTATTTCTCTCTCTTAAGGTACATTAACTGATTAGCTCTTTCTCTAGAGCAAGCCTTTCTTAGCTAGAATTAAAATTCACTTGCTAAATTCACTAGGGTTCCTTATAAACCTATTTTGAGAATTCATATCCTTTCTGAGGAGAGGAAATCCATCATCTATTAATGAATATTCATTGACCACAATTTTGCTCTAAATAGAAGCAAACATCTCTGTCTTCCTTCAGAACTTTCTGGACCAGGGTTGGAACTTGAACTCTATAATAAAGTTATATCTTACAGAATTTAAGAATAAACAGGATTAGCCAGGGATTTAGGTCAGTTGTACCTCTGCCTGGGGTACCAAAAAAAAAAAGAATAAATAAGATGTTTTGTTTGTTTTTAATACAGACATTAAAAATGCTAATGTAATTATAAGTCTGTTTCACTTAAGAAAATGATGAGCTTCATTTGATAAGCATCCATTTATTTATTTATTTAGTTTCATACTGGGGATCAAACTCGGGTCCTTGCACTTGCGAGGCAGGCAGCAGAACCACTGAGCTAAATCCCTGGTCCTTCATTTAGAAGGATGCTATCTTGGAATTTTTAAGAAATATGCTTATTCATATTTGGTTCCTTTAAAAGAAAAAGTTCAGCATTGCTAAGGAGGAGTAAAAGCACACTTTTGATTAATCCCACACATTCTTGGGCGGTAGCCCCTTGACAGTGCTGCCAAACTGACCCCATTCCAAACACTTGTACTCTTGTATTTGAGATATGGACATATGCCACTTATGATACAGGCCACCCAGGTTGCTTCCATCTGGGACATAAACTAGAATTTGAACCCTATGACCTTTAGGGTGAAGATGTTGGTTAATTTTATTATTTCTTTAACATCTTGAGTTTCTAAGTTATATTTATAGGGTTTAAAAAAACCCCCTATATTCCAGATGTCCTGCTTCTCTCCAGACCTTTCACTTGGTAGCGACCACTGACTCACAGACTTGCTTTTCTGTTAGTTTGATAATTGCTAACACTTGCCTTTCTGTTAGTTCAATAATCCCTTATCACTAAGACCCCATCTGTTGCCATCCCTCAGAAAGTGAAGGATTTGACAAGACACTGTGCAGAGTATACTTCTAAAACTATCTGATGTTTTCAAGATAAACTTTCTTTCCTAAGACAAAAGATAGAAAACAATTTGCTTTTATACCCCTAGGGGAGCAAAATTGTGTGTGGTTAAAACCCAGCGGAAAGCTAAACAAGCTGAGACTCTGACCCAAGACTACATTATCACTCGTAAGTTGTTAGCATGGTTTTGAGTAATGTGTCTGTCTTTTCTCATGTGCTATTGTTTGGTTTCAGAGACAGAAAAACCCTGAGTTGAGGTATATGTTACAAAAACTCCCATTGTACAGACTAAAGTTTGTGTGATGGCTACTCTTTTACCCTCTGTGACTCGTTTCAGGGTCAGGATTGTCTCATGTAACTTTTAATCCAAACGGGAAAGAGCTTATTTGAGCCTAGTGCATCACTCTGTATCAGCTTTTTAAAGAATAACAGTCTGGTCTACAGATAAACAAGAAAGTGCTGTTCTTTGAATTGAGAGGCCTAGGTTTGTCCAGTTGTGCCACAGCTTGGCAATGTGATGTTGAATGCCAGAAATTCACCAAGAGAGTGAGCAGTCTAGATGAAGAATCTCCCCGGTTCCTTCTGAAATCTTTGACCATGTTCTAGACCCATCTGGAAACATTTATATATAACATTTTT